CTGTAGCTGCCTCCACCAGTGTGTGAATGTGAGAGTGAATGAATAGTGGAATTGTAAAGCGCTATATAAATGCAATCCATTATTATTATTATTATTATTCGTTTATTAAATATTACAAGTTCTGAATTTTCAAAGATTTCCCATAGATCAACTAAAACTGAAGAGGCATTTTGGATTCCAAAATATAATATAGGTCTTGAAAGCGATCGTAATGATTCAACAGCATAACTTTGTAATGGAATGAAAATTACCCTTTGAAAAGACCGCCAGTAAACAAGCAAAACATAACACATTCAAATAAGGTGCCAATAAATACTTTTACTTAACAGATGGGAACCACTCAAGTTCTAAAACATAATTTATTAGTCAAGAACGGGAAATAATCTCTGCTGGGCATATAAAAATGGAGGGATAAAATAATTCAGTGTCCCACAGGGATAAAATACAAAGTCCAAAGCCAGGGCTAGCTATGCCACAAATCACTTACACTTCACAGGTTGATAACTTCTCCTGGTAACAATAGTTACCATGTGCGTAGCAGGCTGGCAATTATACGGGCCTCAGGGAGGTATTGTAGGCCGTGGCACATAGACAGAAAATATCGCAGCGGCGTTTGCAGTGTGGGCTGTAAGAAGAGTATGAATGTAATCAAACAAGCAATACCACCTACAGACGAAAGCACAGAAATATGGAGGTGAATTAATATGCAGGTGATTCCAGGGAAACTCATTTCCAAAAAAATATCCACACCAAAACCCGACGGCAACCTTTTATCCACAAAAGAGGGTTTTATTCTGGCACAAAACATTAGTTTGTCTGGCCCGTGGACATATATAATTATCTGATTTGGTTACATTTGTGTTTGTTAATAAATGTAGTGATACTCTATCATATCAACAGGGGCAATTTTCTTCTCTATAATGAGAGAAAGGCTGTGCACATGTTAGCACAGACATAACAGCAGGATACAAACTCTTGAGAAATTAATAATAAAAAAATCACAGATATTATAGAAAGGAAATAATTTCTGTGATCCATCGTCACCTTGCTGAGGAGAATCAGCCATTTCCACAGAAATGGTTCAAATATAGCAGCTCGATCAGATTCCAAAATACATGTGAAACAAACTGTTAGAAATAAGTCAACTTCTGATTTACACTACACCGGACAAGCGATTTAACTTTTAAAGTCAACATAAACTGGTGCTTCACGCCACAATGAAGCACCAGTCTGCACAAGTCTGTTGCAGTTTCGTCTCTGTATATGTAAAGCTGGAAAAGGAGCACCCTAGAAAAAGGGGGGAAACAGTTTATTCCTCTCAAAGGACGTGTTTAGACTGCACTAGCTGAATTCGGCATCTTCTCTCAGCACAGTCTGCTGAGTTTGTCTCTGACAGAAATTTACAGATGTGATGACTGAACTAATCTCTACAAAACAACAGGGAGGGGAAAAAGGCTTCAGATCAATGTTCATTTAATCATTCACTATTTTGGTCAGGGGACTAAAATATATTTTTGTTTGGTGGTTTGACAGAAGTGGAAAGAGATTCAAGTCAAATTAAATTAACGAGACAAGAGGTTATAATCTTGAATGTAAAGCGCCACCTCGTGGCCATTTTTAATGAAATAGCAGGTGAAAATCCGCATCACACACTTTTTTCACATTTGTGAATATGGCATCTATTATTTACCAAAGTTAATAAATAGCTGTGCAAAGACGTCTCATGCTGCTTCTTGTCTGATCTCACTCACAGTTATTGAATTATAACTGCGTGGTTAAAGTACTCAGAGTGCAGTAAAAGGACTGAAAGTGAGCAAAGTATCTGAGTTTGTGGTACACTGGATTGGACCTAATAACAGAAGGATAAAAAGCACAACAGAGACAAGCCAGAAAATTTGCATTATTTATTTATTTATTTTGGACATTAAACAGTTACACGCAGTAACACAGGCCACAACCACAGATGCGATTATGAATATCTTAAGAAAAAGACGGAGAAAGATGTAATAAAGTCAAGCACTATAAAGGTAAAACAGACTGAACAGGAATTTATAAATATGTGAAAGCAAACATACTAAACTCTCTGGTGATAGATCCAGATTTTTCATCCAAACCTAGAAAAAGAAACCCAAACATTAAGACTGCTGTGTGATCATTTATCATAATCAATGATTTTGAAATTAAAATGTTAAAAGTGCTTCAACCATTACAATAAAAACCTACACTAAACAAATATGTGTCAACACACAGTTCAAGATTCAACAGCTTCATTGTCAATGTAAAAATAGAAAGTTACAGTAATGCAGTTTTTTAGTGTGGTGTTCAAAAGAAGATAACAAAAATATTAAAAAGTGCTAATAAAAAATGTAGTCCACAACAATGTTCACTTAAGGTGCGAAATACTTGAAAATACTTGAAAAAAAAGAATTAAAATTTTACATAAAGTTCTTGCAGCAGCATAACAATCCCAAGCACAGCAGCAAATCTCAGCGAAATGCCAGAAAAAGAAAATAATCAAATTTGCAACGACCAAAGTCCAAAACTCATCCTGATAAAAATGCTGCAGCACTCGTTTTAACGAGCAACAGCTCTCTACTGTTACAACATGTTGCTGCTGTTAATCAATACAATTTAATACAGTTGTGCTTCAAATAGAATAAAAAATGTGACATGACAAATAATTAGGTCACACAAAAGGCTCTTACACTCATACAGATATACATGTGTTTGCTAAACCATATATCAGCAAGAGAAGATACGACCTCTCCTAGGAGGTGTGTGACCTATGCCAGAACCCTCTGTAGAGGAGTGAACGCACCCCCCTCTTCATGCTACACAGAGTTGTTACAGACCTCCTAGGATGAGACATTCTTTCAATCTACACATGATTATATACTTCTAAGCATATATGAGTAAATATTTATTTACAGCTCAAGTTTTCTTGCTGCTCGTGATGGTGGTTTTATGGGATCATTTGTTGGGCTGTTGTTATTTGGTGTTCGTTGTCTTATCTCCTCGCTCTCCATCTTGATTAAAGGTGTTTGGTTCCTTTAGATAAAAACAAAATATGAGATCATTACTACTTTCAATAACGCCACCACATTTCTAAAGCATCTGAATTCAGTTTGTCGTGTAAAAACAATATACAACAATTTAAAAATACATTTAAAATGTATATTTAAATAAAATGGTACAAAGACAAAAAAAAATGAAATATTAAAACGGAGACATTTTAATTATATGAAAAAAAAATTGAATTTCATGCCAGGAACACATTTCAGAACATTTGAGACAGAGACAAAAAAGACTGAAGATATTATGCAATGCATACAAATATCTGGTGAAGTATGTTATAATCAAGGAGATAAACTGGCAACAGGTAACAGAAATGATATATAATGAGCCCCAGAGGTAGCTGAGTCTTTGGAAGTGTGGTCAGGCAAAAGCCTCTGTGCTCTGAAATGGCTCAGGTTTACACATTCGAATGTGAACAAACAACAACACTTCTGGAACAATCTTTGTCCAAACATTGTAGGGTTTCCATCATCTGCTCTATTTAAAGAGAATCTGGAGATATCTCTGCACACACTGAGTGATCATCATCTTTGGACTCTCGGGCTACACTGAAAACAGACGACGCTGTGACAGTGAACAGAAAACCAAACTAGATCCAGGAATGACACCACCCTCTCTGGGACCGTGGGACTGACACAAAGTCCAAAACTGTTATGTGGTCTGACCGATCACCACCTGAAATTCATCTTAGAAATCATGGACCACATCCTCAAAAGACCATCTGGGGTGGACTCGTGCACATGGCATTGGCTACCTGGACATCGGTGAAGAGACCATTAATGCTGAAACATGTAGACAGGTTTGGGAGCAACCACCTGGAAAACATCTGCTAATACTAGTCTACTTCTACTAGTGTATGTGCAGCAGATGTTTGTGGCTGGGTGTTCAAAAACACGGCATGCATTTTTAATTTCTCCTTGATATTTGGCCCGATGAATATTATGAATATTGGGCCCGATGAATGTAAAAACAAAGAATTACCAGATTTTTTTTTTACCTGATTTTTGTTTCTAAGAAAAATGAGAGCCACATGAGGATATTCATTTAAAAATTTGAAAGGACAGTAGCAGTATAATGTCCTCGTAAGTGGATATCAGGCCCTTGTAGAGCAAAATTTTGTATTTTGGTCTAAATAACCCAAAATGTGATGTCCACATATGTGGATGCCAGGTCCTAGCAGTTTAAATGATATTCCAACGAATTAATGAAAAAAATAACAAAAAGAATTTGAATAATTATCAAACAGTCTTACCCGTCCATCTTATTGGTTGACTTTTGTGGTGTTTTGCTCTTCTCATGGTCCCTGAGTGACAGAGGGATTTAAGGTTTAAAGTTTAAAGTCAGTACTACAAATATCTGCAGATATTACTGGATAGATGTGGGTTAGGCTCTTAGAGTCATAAATCATTATTATATTAACATATCCAGGAATGACACCATATATTATCATATTAACAAGAAGACATATTAAACCACATGTGAAAGTTACCTCTGCTTGTCTTTTTCTTTAAGACGAACAGTGACGAGCAGAATTACACAACCAAGGACCAACACCAGTACTACAGCTGATACAATTATCACGGTGGAATCTGAGAGAAAAGCAAGGAAAATGTGACACTGAACAACACGGATACATTAATCATGGATAAAAAGGAAACACAGAAGTACTAAGTTCATTGATATTAGGTCTCAGTCGAACTAACCCAGATATAATCGATCTATAAATCTGTGACTGAAAGAGTTTCTCACCATATTCATGATCAGACGTCCGCTGGACCTCAGGAATCGTCACCATCACCTCTCTGTGAGGAGCAGAGAGCACTCGTGCTGCACATCCCACCTGTGTGCTGTTGCTACGTGAACCTGAGAGCACAGCTGTAGTGGTGACAGTGAATGTAGCGTTGGTGTTGGACACACTGACAGTGTTGTACTGTGAGAAGCTGAGGTCTTGTTGTGAGACACTGAGTGTTACAGTGGGAGCAGGTCGACCAGTGGCTGAACAGGAAACAACCCACTCTTCAGTAGAGTTTGACTCTCTGACATCAACAACAGGTTCATGCAGCTCTGTGAAGGATCAGGAGATATCATCAACATGTTCTTACAAACACACCAGCTGCAAACACATTTATGTCCAGTATGTTCGTTTGACGTAAAAGTTCTTACTATAAACTCGGAGGTAGGGTTTCCCTGTCAGAGAGCCTTCAGGATAAGTGTTAAACAGACAGTGATAGAAGGCTTCATCCTCATATGTCACATTCCTGATGACTATGGAGCAGTTCTGTAGTCCAGTGTATATAAACCCAACTTTATCTGTAAAGCCATCATTCACTCTCTGACCATAGTACTTGCTGTAGGTGGCGACATTTGTCTCCACATCAGGAGAGATTTTCTGCCATGTGACCTGAAGGACGTCTTTAGTCTTCAAGAGCTGACAGCTGAATTCAGCATCTTCTCCCACTGCTGCCAGCACAGTCTGCTGTGTTTGGACCACTGCTGTTAGAGCTGCATGGAGAAAAACATCAGTTAAAGATGAACTGAGTGCTCTTGATGGGAAGACTGAAACAATAATTCGGGCTGGGATTAGACTGAGTTTAATTTATGGCACTAAATAATAACAATGTATCAGGTTTCACATATGTGAATAAAATAATGTACTTCAATGATATTATTGGATGTCTAATATGGAATTTCAAAAACAAAAACAGTGCTACCAGTAAGATGTGTGTTATGTTTCTTTTTGGCAAATCAATTAAATTCACAATATTAATAAAGACGTGCAGAAGTATTATGTAGGATCTACATGTGTTCAAAAGACAAACACTTGGCTCTCTAATTATCCACTATGTTTGTCATTCAGAACTCATCCAAATTACAAATGATAATTAAAGACATTAAAAAGGTGCATCTCCTTGACACTCTCTCTTTCACCTCCACGTTGCCTCTTACAGTTGTTTATCCCAGGAACTCTTCTGACATTACATCTTTGTGTTTGACATTTAGCAACAATGATCCTGCTTTTGATCAGCATTTTAATCAATAAAAAGGAGGAAGAAATGGTTAATATGATATCTGAGTATTTATTAATAGTTATCTGCATCTTATACCTGCTGAAATCAAGCTGTGACGAACTAGTTTGAATTATTTATCTACACTGCAGAGTTTTCAATATAATGCTGGAAGCTTTACTACGTGATACCGATCAGTGTCTAACAATGCCACCTGTGAAATCTGACATGAAGAACAGGTCCATGAAGCTCTGCAAAGGATGAAGGTTTCAAAATATAACATGTGCGACAGTTTTTACAAGCAAGTCAACTTTTGGCTGCGTCCGTTAAAACAGACCCTTAAAACGTTTAAATATCACCGTTATATGGCTGTAGGTCTACCTGTTAGTGACATCCGGCGTTTCTTTTTTTGTCAGACTTGATGTAAATGCAGCTTTTATGTTCCAACCGTGAAAATGAAAGTTAGTCGAGATCACGCTTCATCAATTTCAATTTAAGCTGATGACTTTCTTTAGTAACACTTTCTTAACTCTAACTTTATACTCGTTCTATATATGTTAGAGTGATTTCTTCTGTCTATCGCCCAGAAACACAGGAACCATCCGTCAGATCACTTTAGCGCAAACTGACTACAGCAGATCGAATTCATATAAATAAATTCATAAATGAAACAGTGCATCTCACTCACCGTTTGGAAAAAACGCCAGCAAACTAAAGACAAACGTGATCGCGCGTCCTGCCATGTTGTCTGTTTACCGCTAAATTTCAAAACTTCAAACTGCACAAGAGAAGCTCGGCCAGTCCATGTCACAGGGTGTGTAGTGAGAACGACAAAGCAAAACATGATCCCTCTCATTAATCACAGCTACATAAAATACAAAGCATTCATTGGGAAATCTAATAAGTCACTGATTTTATAAACATTTTACTATTTTGGAAAACCTCTCGGCCATTTGACATCACGCTTATTCCTCGTTGTCCCCTCTTCAGTGTGTAGTGGAACAGACCAACAATTTAGTTTCACTTTCGTTTGAAACGAACAGCCAGGCTGACAAATGTAAGATGAAACTCTTCAAACATACATACATGAAAGACCACGAAAAGGAGTACTTTGTCTTGGCACGAACAGCAAAAGAGTAAAGAGAGGAGCAGTAGCGGTTTCAGATA